GCTGGTAATGAAGTGTTTGCAGCTTAGCATAAGCAGTGGCTTGATTCAGTAGGCTGCTTCCAGTACATGTCAATTCCTTACCGACCAGTTCATTTCAAACCTTATCCTTTCAAACAGAAAATGTTCTTACCTAAAGCAATGCTACCGGGGAAAAAAACTGAACCTGGTAATTGATGAAGAGGCCCTTCAGCCTGGCTGTAATTTAAGTTCTGTATATCCTGGGCAGGAAAGAACGCAATACTCATGACAGGAGCCACCAATAACACCAACAAGTACAAATGGCAAGCATAGAAAATAAGTTATTGCTAACAATTCTACAACATACATTTGTATTACATTCAAATTGTGTGTGTGCACGTGTATGCCAGGTGACTCAAAGCTCAATCATTCTTCATCTGTCCATGATGCAGTCACTTGAGCTCAGACAGGATGCTCCATGACTTGCTGAAGATGGTTCCACTTCAGCAGTCTTGCAACAGGAAGCAACCGGACATGGAAGACGCAAAGATTACAATAGCACTGAGCTCCCAGACATTAAGCTATCACACAGAAGGAATAAGAATCAAAAGGAAGCCACTGTACCAAAGCCACCATACTAGAGTAAGCAGGATCAGAGCTGCACATCATGTCCTGCTATTGGCTATACTGAGTAATAGATTGGAGGAAAAGATACATCACCTTCCTTGACCCACCTGTGAGCACACTAAAGCAACAGTGGATACTGTCTGGCTTCAGAGCAGGTCAGGTGGTGTCTGTTGGTACATGACGCAAGAGGCCTGTTTCAGAATCTGTAGGCTTAGAACATGGTAACTCAGGACAGCAACAGCCAGCCTGGTAATCTAGCAAAATGCAATGGCACAGGCCACAAGGCTGCTTCCAAGTTGATCTTTTAAGGATTTGGAATTTCTTGCGTCAGTTCTCAAGTCTGACTGCTTCCTGGCAGAGTGGAAGGAGTTTGCACTCCTTTGCTTCCCAAGATGAAATTCTGTAGTGCCTTGTTTAGTACTACCACAGCCAGCCTTCTCCCCACATCTCCTAAGGGGAACTCAAGTTCTCTCATTGACCCAAGCTCCACCAGCCTGATGTGCAGATGCTTCTCTGGACATCAGCAATCATAACAGTTGCCAGAAATACTCCCTTCCACTTCAAAGCTGTACATTTGACCCAGATAGGATAGGAAAGTAAATGAGTATTTGTTCTGCAAGTATGGAATATCATTTCTGCGCAACAATCGTGCTATTGCCAGGTGAATAAATAGCTGCATACTAAGAGGACGTCCAAAGAAGATGGATACAGAATGAAGCCTAAATAGCAAGCATACTCTCAGGTATCTTTATAGGGATTTAAGAAATGCATGCCACTATAGACCCTGTAAGACCTCACATCTCCATCAGGTGATCAGATCTGCACAAGAGACTGCAATGGAAGCAGGCTCTGGTAGACCCTGAATTCAACAACAGAGCAGTACACTCTGCTGACCAACCGGTCAAGGGTATGAGTTTTCTCTTTAGTCTGTCTGAAGGTCTTTCCTAGACACCAACACATCAAGAGATAAGACCACAGAAGTTGCTCACTAATCTCTGAGGAAGCACAAGCCTCTAGAGACAGAAGAAAGTTTTCAATACACACCTATGCCTCACACAGAGCCAGACTGCCTCGCAAATCGCTGCCAGTGCTAGTTCAGCAAATGCATTGCCAGATACCTCTAGGGAAGGCTGAAGAGAGATACAGGGAATTAAACAAACCTAATTCAGTTTGCAATAAAGCTCACTGATGACTATGAATAACAGCACGAGGAAAGCTGACCAGCTAGTCAGCACATTTATCATCCTAATGAGCCAATAATTCTTGGTGCACAACAGTAATAACCCTTAATCAGACCAAAAGTTCCCTGCAGCTGAGTAAACTGCCTCAGTCACTGCCTAGCAGCAAACAGAAAACAGCGAAAAACAAAGACATCCTCGACTGAACTCTCCTTCCAGTTTCTAGCAGCCAGGAGTTTAAATGAAGAACAGTTATTCTTTAAAAAAGAAACACTAAAGTTGAGGTCCCCATCACAAATATAGCAGATTTTTCCCCCCACAGGCAATTGCATTGGAGAACAAAAATCAATTTCCTTCCTAGCTGGAAAGATTTCTCAAAGACTGGGACGACACGCACCAAAAATCTACTTCAGAATATTGACTGGGTCCTATATGCATCAACGGACAACTCTGCTGTAATTAACACACTTCTCAAGAAAGGCAACTAGCTTCTCTTGCCAGTTAAGAGAAGAAAGGCCCTGTACAAGTCTGTGAAGAAGGCCTCTGGTTGTTCTAGATGAGGTAAACGAGCTCCAGATCCCTACTATAAACACAGGTACCCTGCATACCCACCGCAGACACGGAGGGTGCATCCCTCATTACCAATAGATCAGAAAATCAGTGAGTGGCTCACCACTCCTCTTGAAGGAGGATGGAAAGGGGAACCAGGAAGATACAGTTCTCTGTCAGTAAAGACAGCACAAAGGGGAGAAATGGCAATGACTGCAAACCACACAGCAGTGTCATGTCTGCATGCAGCAATCGGTGATTACTGTCACTGAAGTCAAGCTCTTTCAGCCCAACAAACTATCTCCAGGAGACATTCCTAAAGATCCAAACCTTGCTAGAACCTACTCAGGGAACAACTGAGCTTACTCCAGCAACTAAGCCTTTAAGACAGACTTCCTTGCTGGTGTTTATCTGCTCAAGCACAAAAACAAGAGAGGATGTATCCTGCGAACAGATCATGTTTTATGTACCACAGAAGAGACAGGCCAACTGAATTACTAAAATTGCCCTGGGAAAGGAACAAAGTCAAAGATGTAAGAAGTTGCACAGTTACATACTGGAGAACCAGATTTCATTCTGCTTTACATCCTCACACACTGAACAACAGGCAGGGGGACAGCGTGAAAGAATGCTTTCACACATTCTGTGGGAATCTGAAAACCAAAGTTTGCTTCAAGTGACACCTCCCAGGAAAATAAAAATCAAAAAGACAACTGAAAACAGAGTTCCTCAGTAAGTAACCCAGGAAAGTGTTTCTTAGGGTGGCAAAAAAGAGGACCAATGCACTACTCAGCTTTGCCGTAAGTAAATATAACACAAGGCAATCCAACTCCTCAGTGGAAACATCAAAGCTTCCCCATTTCCATATCATAGTGGGAGGACAAACTGAAGTAACAGAGCAGGCAGACAACCACTTTAGCTATGCAGACCTCTGACGCACCTCTGACCTAGCAGAACTGCACATGACTAGAACTGAATCCACAAGTACCAGCTGGTTAAGGCTATGTGGCTGCACAACATCAGATCAGTTATTCAACATGCCAGGCTTCAGAAACGCAAACATGGTGTAGTAGGAGTTCAGAGCAACTACATCGTGTGTATAGAGCCAAGACTGACAACACAGCAGATACAAGAGAAGAAGCCACACACTTTCAGAAAAGACGCTACAAAGGCTGTAAAGGTATTTCACTCTACCAAGCAAAACCACTGCTCGATTCCCTTTACCTCCGTTGCTCACAGCTCATTATACCTGTGCTTCCATTGCCAGTCTCGGGATATAAACTAGCGAAACAGAAGTACCAAGTATAAACATTATGTCTACTTTCTCTAAAGAGAATTTTCTCAAATGCAACCTGTAAATTTCCCAAAGTCTATAGACTTAAATGTAATACAATTCTTCTATAATTATAGTGTTTTCCCAAAGGGTTAATTACAGAGGCGACACTTCTTACTAAACTGAACAAAGAAGGAAAAAAAGTCTAATGTCACACTTTGAGAAACACCAAGGCAAAAAAAGTTTTCACTTAGTAATAAAAACAGCATATTCACATACCACTAAGTAATTAAGATAGGCAAAAGATCCTGTTGATACAATGTGAAAACCAAAAAGGGAACAGACTACACCAAGGTGTCAAGGTCAGTAAAACAAACTGCAGGAGAGAAGAAGGAGAAATGTCTGTACAGCATACAGGTAGGAAAGACTTAATTACTGATATGGCAGCTTTCTCCTTAAAAAAAAGAAACATTTTTATCCTCTTAAACTTACGACGAGAAAATGGCATATTTAAATACATTGTGCCAAAATTAACTACTTCAAAATTCGCATGCCTGTTCCAAGACAAAAACTGACCTCTTGAATAGAAATCTCTATTAAAACTAGTAAAAAAAAAAAATAAATGAAACATACCACCTTTGGCTCAAAATTGATAGATGACACTTTGCAAAAAAATGTATTTTCCTAAAGAAGTTACTTATGGACAAAATCTCAGCTTTATAAATAATTTTGCTTTATAGTTCTAAATTGCAAATTGCTTACCATAAGAAACAGTACAATTCAAAAATATCTTGAAGGGGGAATGTCTATCTATGAAAGCTACTTTATAAATGTGAATCACCGAGAGCAGTTGTGCTTATGCAAACTAAAATGATCCAAATACAACTATAAATAATACAATATTGCTTTTTAAATGTGTGATCATAAAGTTTTACACAATGTAAGCAAAAACGTGCTTATTGCATAGATACACTTGTGCTGCTACAAAAGCAAGATCTGGTGACAGAAATATTTTTACCTCATTCTGAAATGCAGTCACTGCTGCCAGAGCACACTGAATACAAATGCAGACAAAACTTACCATATTTAAAAACAATACCCTTGATGCTATGCACTGAGACAATACTCTGTAAATCAGTTTATTTTCCATGTAGTGGACAAATCAGTCAGTGTAATTATTCTGCATGTGAATATTAAAATCAAAGTGCTTATTTTCCCACAAGAAATGTGTTCATTGTGAGATTACCAGGTCTTGCAATACCCTATAAAGCTTCCAATTTAAAGGTTAGTTCTGGAAATCTGGAACCGTAACATCAGGGTCTTTTGCCGTTAATAATGACAGCTACACTACAAATGGCTAAAGAGCAGTTGCGTGCCGAAGAAGTAGAACAATACAACAGCTCCATTAAGGAAAAGAGTTTTAGTGCACTTTTCTCGTTTTAGCCAACATGCTACACTGCCCTTTTTGCGTATAAAGTGGACTCAAGGATTTCCATTGTAAGAAAGAAATGACGTGGCAAGCAAAACAGCATGTCAAGCTGCCGTTTTTTTCCCTATAGATTTGGACACTTTAAGACAGAAGCTTTGCAAGACATTACGCAATTCTTTGTTTTTATTATTAAATGAGAAAGTCTGACTTGTTACATTGTCATACTGCTAGTCAGAAATGCTTCGGTGATGAAGAAAGTCAATGCTGGGTCAACCCAAGTCCTCATTCTATAACATTCATTTACAAAGAAATCATAGTAATGTTCAACACACCCAACACAGAGAAAAGTCCCAGGGCTCTTCCTCTAGTGGGTATGTTACTACATAAATTAGAAAATTTTTTTTGACAAAATATCCCCATATTTTCATGAGATCAAAATGGGCTTCTACAGACGTTACAGAAGTCTTCACACATCATCATCATCTGATGTATCACTGCTGCTCGTCTCAGAATCCTCATTATCCAGAGCAGGTTTGAAAGTGCTGTTTTTCCAAGGACTAAATTTAAAATCACAGATGAGGCCATTTTTCAAAATGCCATTTTTCCGAAGGCCATTTTTTTGTAACTGAAATGAGAAAACAAGATGTATTCAGAGAAAGAAAAAGCTAAACAAAACCATCTGTTGTATTTCAACATTCTCTACCTGTTCATCTCTGGCCTACATTAGATCCATAGCACTATCTTTTCACACACACACACAATGGAAAACTCTGCTGAGAGACTCCACTGCTGGGCCAGCCACTGTAGCCAAGCACCTCCAACCATGCTAAGCTCCCGCAGTCAGTGAGAGCTTACCCTCTTCTCACCCAGTTCCCCAGACATCTTGCCCCAGTGATCCCTCCTCCCACATAGTCTCTCCCATAATGCAGTCCCTTTTTCCATAGTGCTGCAAACATCTGTCCTAAGAAGGGCAGGGTCTGCAATAAGGGGCCCAGAAGAGGACAAGCAGCAGGGAGGAATGGGTATCCCAATCCATCTACCCAATGCAATTGAAAAGTCAGGGACACTGGAGAGAAAGGAAACAACTGATTCTACAAGGAAGGAATTAATGCCTTTCCACACATCATGCAGAAGCTGGGCAGTAAGTCAAGCATTTAAGAGTTTAATATTCCAGATGCTTTAATTAATATGTATGTGGCTAGACTTATGGAAATACCAAAGGTTCACGTTTAACACTGCATAAGGTTCTACCTTCCAGCTCCTCCTCACTGAACCCACCACATAAACACTCCTAACTTTAAAAAAAAAAAAAAAGAAAATCAAGTCTAGATTGCCTTTTCAGACTTTTTTTCACTAGTGAACTAAATGTCTATCAATTTCTAACAGAGAAAAATCAGATTTTGGAGAACCAAGGAAACTGTATAAAAACCTTGAAAGAAAATAGCTTTTCCTCAGGGTAAGGTGAGGATCGGGATAGCCCGTGCCATTCTACCACCAGCAAAGCTGGAACTACCCAGAAGCACTCCCCACCTTTCCATTGATCTTTTGAGAACAGGCCTTATCTACAACAAACACTGGTGACCTATCTTTTTAAAGCAACTATTCTTCCAAAAGCACAATACTGAAATGGTACTGAAACATCCCTAACCATCAAAATTACTGCAGATCCTTCTCAAAGGTAGGCATTTAGGGTAGCCAGCTACAAGTTCATAACAGAACATCAGCTTAGTGTTACCTGTTCACTAATGACTCGGAACTCCCTCATCTCATCCTCTGTTAGTGGAGCACATGTTTCATCATTTTCACTGTCTTCCTGCCAGCCCATCTCCTTTAACAACCTTTAAATTAAAAAGGACAACATTAAGGAATTTGCTACACACACACAGACATTTCAAGCTCTGCCTACTTATATGCATAAAGATCTGTAATAAATGGATTTATCAGTCTATTTTTTTTTTAAATAAACTGTTACATAAAAGTAGCTTAAAAGGCTTGCAAAAGATAGGCAAAGCATGGAAGTTGAGAAGTTCTCAAGTCCTCCACAGATGACCCTGTTTTACACTACACGTGGTAAAAACTGTACCTTCATTTTAAGGCAAGAAATGCGTGTCAAGTGGAAATGTAAGAATGTATTTCCTTTGCATAACTGCTCTGGTGGAGCAGCAGCATACCGCCTTGCGAACAGTATGAAGAGACAAAGACTTACACTGAGGGAATCTGCAAGTTTTCCCAGATAACAGACCAGCTATGAGGAATGCTGGTGGTGTTCCTCCATGGGAATCAATTCAGCATGCCAATGGCCTCATATAGTTTCCTTTTTCTAGCACATGCTAATAGCAGAGCCAGCACACGCTTCTTTGCAATTAAGTGTCAGCCAACAGCAGATGCTGGTATTTCAGCACAGACACACTACAACTAGGAGTGAGTTTTGCGTTGAGGAGAAAAGAAGAAAAAAGAGACAGATTCCTCTCGTGACTAAGCTTCAGATATCCAAAGATACAATAACCAATGTGTTTTAGCTGGTGCCAAAAGTGGGACAGCAGTATTTGAGCAGGAAGAAAGTGGTTTTACATGTGCAGATGCTGTGAAAACAGGGGTTATCTTGAGGGTGAAGACACCATGACATTTAACAATGAAGACAGTAAGTTCTTCTGCTGCAAATTTTTTGTCAAAAGGATTAGCACCTCCTTCCGGTAAACCATGCACATCTTGGACCTTAAACGTTAAAGGAGCTTACAGCTATCTCACAAAAAACAAAGATGTTTCTAAAGTATATGCCAGAACTAACACACAGAGCTGAAGAACTGTGAATATATTAAAACAGGGAAGTAAGACGAACTCACCGCTGATGTCACGTGCTAGGTACTCCATCTAGGAAGATGTCAGCAAAAAATGCCCTTCAACATAACCCTCCCCACAAAGAACGCTAGGTGCCAACACAACAGACATGCATTGGGCAAGCTTGCACGTGACCAATGACACCAACGACTGTTTTTAAAACCATAATAAAAGCCCAGAATTGTAGAAGGTGAAGGGGAGAAAGCACTACTCCATTTAAAAAGAAAAGTTAACAGGACAATAACAGAAATGGAAATTACATCCTCTGTAGTATTTGGACCAAATCTGACAATGTGACAGCCAGAAACAATTAAGTCCTCAGGAAGCAGCAGAAATAATATGCAAGTCATCCAAAACTCTCATTTAAGATAATACATGCATTTGTATAGTCATACAGAAATAGACTCGCAACGCCAAATGCAGTCCAATGATATTTGTAATTCTGGCAACAGTAATTTGAGTTAGAAAGTTTTACTGCAAGCAACCTGTTAACAGTATTATGCACAATAAAGTGATTACTTACAGAGCTCCTGTTAATGTAAATAAAATCTAAGGCAACAGCTAACTAACTTTTAAGCAACACTGTGTAAAGTTAGCAGGACCGCTGTCCCTTTAAAGCAACACTAGATTTCTAAAATGGTTGAAAGTATGAACTACGTAAAAAAAATTAAACTTCAGAATAGCAAACTTGACCCCGACAGGATGGCTGCATGTTGGAAATACCCCCAGCGGAAGGGAATCCCAAAACAGACTTTGTATAAAATGTGCCAATACTGTTACTAGGTATGCACAAGTATCCTGTGAGTTAAGCTGGTCACTTCAATTTACCATAAAAACACTGACCATAACATCTGTCTACACGCATGCGAAGGTCAGAGACAAAAGGTTGTCTCAGTATGGAAACACAGCCTCTCTGGGATGCCACAAAGGAAAGACACTTGCCCAGAAACCACAAGAAGGCCAAAGTCATCTGATCTGGAAAATGAGAGTTAGATTTGACTCCCGTCTTCTAGTCAAAAAATCAGCAGCAAGCAGCCTCTAGTGGCCAAAGATTTCTGTCTCCTTAGCCGATGGTGGAAAAAGACTCAAACACAGCAGGGTGCATTTCACTTTTCACACTCACAAGGGATAAGAGGTCACGACAGTGTCCTCTGCAGGTACTACAAAAGGTGAAGTTGTTTAGTCCCATGTACACGTTTAATCTATTACTTAAAAAATAAATAAATAAATAAAACAGAAAATCTATCTGATCTATCACTGCAATTCTGTAGTTTCCAGAAACAACAAGAATCTGACAGAGCTCATGACAAGCTCATCTCCAGACTGAGTTGTGATGTCCCAGCAGCATCATTCTCATCTCTACCAGTTACTACTGTAGTTACTTTTAAGAGATACTAAAACTGTTTCATTCCTGTTTTGCCATTACTTTCTCCCTTTCCAATGCATTGTCTTGTGACACCGCTGTGTCAATTAGTCAGCTACAGAAATAATTAATTACTTTAACAATGAGAAAAATCTCACTGGAGTTTTACATAAGATGCAGCATTTAAGGTATTATTCATACAAATAGCAACTACATGCATTGTTCCTCCTAGACATGCAGACCATAATCAGAGAAGTGAAGTCCCTATACAGTTTGCTTTACTTCTTTGCAAGGAAATATTCTAAATTTTTAGTAAAGCAGGTTTAAGTCAGCACACAAGCCTAGCAGAAATAAAGTACATTCCAGCTAAATCAGTACATGTCTAGAAGCTAAACTCTGACAGTACTCCATAAAGTTTTTATGTGTTCTTAGTTTTCAGATTCTGACTTCCAAACTACTAATAATTTATGACACACCCACTTACCATGAAGGAACACTCTTTGTATTATATAAAGTACATACCTATGCTCTGCCTCAAGCGAGCTCGAAAGAACATCTGCCTGAGGGAAAGCTGAAGATCGGGTGATCTGTTGAGATGTAACTGAAGCATTGCCATTCTCCTGCGGAATTTCATTTTCAAAGTTTCGGTTTATATCTCTCTCATGATGAGGACTGTTGCTGTTATGCAAGTTAAAGGACTCATCATCCTGTTAAAAATAATTATATATTACAAAGTTTAAAAGTAAAATCCATTCACAGGTAAATATCTGCAAGTGCTGCAATTCAGTGAGTCCGTTTAATTTAGACTAAGTTTAAATGGAGACACTCTGTACTACTTTGGGGATAACTGTTCATACTTCTGGAGTTTGCAATATCTGGATACTACAGAAATCTTAAGTTACGCCACTGATCAAGTAGTGTAGAAAGCAACTCCCATGCTCTGCCTCAAACTTTTTTCTACAAAGTTTCAAACGTATCTTAAAATTCAAACATATTTAAGATGTCTTTCATACTTACAAAAGTAACAGGTTATCTGTTGAACTTACAAAACAATGCTCCTAATTAAATAGCAGAGCCATGTGTGTCAGGAGAAGTCTGAAAGCATTAAGTGTTCTCAAGTCTACTTAGTGTAATGGGCAGGTGACAGCCATCTCAACTGGCAAACTCAACAGCCACAAGTTCAGAAAGACTGGGTAATGCTCCTTAAATTTAGACTGTAACTTGCCCTACATAGATGCACTCACCACAGCTTCTCAGACTGTTGTTAACAGCAACTGCAACTTACTAGCCATGAAATAAGAACTAGAAAGAAAGTTTACAAATAAAGGAGACTGTTCAGGTTCACTCAAATATTAAAAGCTCTTTAATCCCATAAACCAGAGTTGTTTCTTTTTATTCTATTCATTCAGTAACCTGTAATTCTTATTTAGTAATGAGCAAGTAGCCTCAGAAGACTTAACAACTGTAAAAACAAAAAGGAGAGTACGATCATTATCTAGTTAACACCATTTTAACAATAAAGTCTCTAAAGTGGGCATATAACAGCATTATCCACAGCAGGAGGCAATCACTCAGTCAGTCAGTTCTGCATTTGTAAGAAACCATACTTCAGAGTCCAGGGTCCAAAACATCATCATTTCCCTCCCACTCACAGTGTTGTCTGCTTCCAGAAATATCAGAATGCTCAGCAATAATTTCTTAAGAACAAGTATCCCAGTAAACATTCGACTGTTAAATCACACACCTGAAGAATGCATCCCAGATTATCAAAATTCATAAAAATATTAGACAATTCTAATATATATAGGGCAAAATCGCTTCTTCCAAGCATATTTCAGCTGCTGCTGATGATTTGCATTGTTATTTTAGAGGTAAAGTGTTTACAGCAAAATAAAAAGTAGTTTATGGTCCATCTGAAAACTACTACTGCTGGATCTACAATAGGTATGAAGAAAACTACCTTCTCTTGCCCAGAATTATTCTCAGCTTCATGTTCCTCTTCCACTCTATCTCGTTTCAATGCTTTCAAAAATTCACTCTTCTTATCAGTCCGCATTCTTGTCAATTTTGTTAATCGAGGCTGACCAACTTTGTCAACAGGGGATGAAGAATTTGACCGATTACACTAATGTAGGAATTCAGAAAAAGAAAGCATATTAGAAGTTAAATCATTTAGAAAACTTTGAATGAAGACCAAAGGACTCCCTGGCACCTGTAGTTTCAGGTTTCGCATATATCCACAGTCAAAAGCAGAAGGAAGATATTTGTATTTCAGTATATATAGTTCTTACATGTAAACCCAGAGATGCAGGTTTATGGAGCGCTGCTAACAAACAGCGGACCTTCTGCAGTGTATCACACCATCAGCAGTTTTGAAGTCTAAACCTATCAGGTTGTACTTCCTAACCATTTTTACTCCCAATCAAACCTACAAAGCAAATTTTGCAGTACTTAAAGGCCAGTGATGTGCTTTCCATAATCCTCACACACTAACTTCCAAAAAAAATTTTTAAAACAATTCCGCATAAAATTTACAGACCCCTTATCTAACCAAATTAAACATTTTACAGATTTGATAAAAACTACAGGCATTGCTTTACCTCTTTCACTGAATTTTGTGATACAGTAAATGCCTTGGCAGTTGATTTGAAAGGACTGAAATTGCCAACACCATATGCAGATTCATGAGGAAATGCATTCCCAAGTTTATTTTCTTTTGCTTGGCTTTTCCACTGTGTAGACTAAACAGAAAAGTAAAAGAGAAATTTAGAGTCATTAACTACAACAGGATTATTTTCAGGAATCTTTAGAAAAATGATTAAGCAAAACCCATCATAAATACAACCATCATCTAGTGCAAACACCTGTTTTCTTACGGCAAACACACTGTTTACGAGCAATTCATCTGCTCACAAATATTGTTTACATTTTTTACATCAAGACTCAAATTTCAAAACAATTAAGACCCTCATACTTGAGATATAAGAATCAAAATATGAGTCTTCAACAGCTGAAAGTATTGTTTCTAATGCAGGATGTTAGAGTTAAGAACTACTCCATCACATGCTCTCAGGAGCACACAAAAACTCCTGAAACAAAAATCAAGAGATGAACATGGAAAGTTGCATTTGGAAACGGACCAGAATGACACTAATATGTTGCAACACCATCTCTGTCAAGGACTGGGACAAATTCTGAAGGTATTTTTATGCCACTGTATCTCTCCACTAGTTGTCTGTTCTTCTGTTAAAAGCCTATATACAAAAGGCACTGCTGTTCTATAAGTTAAAAGCATCCTTTTCACTCTCACTTGGACAGCTCCTGCACTTCTCCAAGAAGGTAAATGAGAAACAAAGAGAGATCCAATTACCATGTACTTCAAAAAGAAAAATGAGAAAAAGTTGTTCCCATTCACTTTTGGCATGCGCTGCAGTTAGCAAGAGTTGAAAGCATAATACTCTAGCAACAGTACTATCGGGGTGAAATAAGCACTTTTAGAACTACATCAAGATTTTTTCTCAGCATGTTGGTCATGCCACCAGTATCCAAGACTCACTTTTGCAGGCGGAGTGACAGGTTTAGGGACTAATCCTTTGTAAACATTTGCACCAGTTCCATTCCTTACTGGCTGCGAATGAAGACTTCCTACTACAGGGAATCCAGATATCTGCAGTTCTTTTGTACTGCCCTTTTTAATGACCAGCATTCTCGGAGATCTAGATTTAGGATTCAAAGGGTAGTCTGGAAAGAAAAAAAAAAGTGTGTGTGTGTATATATATACACATATGTGTGCATGTATATACAATCTTAAGCTTCTAGTTCATAAGGTACTGGATAGCCACATACGTCCAGAGCAAACAGGCATAAATCAGGAACTTAGTCCAGTATTAGCTCCACAAATAACACACTGTACAAACCTGGATAAACACAAATTCTGTTCCATTTTCTACAGCCACCATTTGTAAAATGTTTCACTTGGCAATGAAGGAATTCTACTTCCAGAAAGTAAAGATATTCTTCAAATAAGCCAGCTATACAGTTCTTGTTTGCAAATCTAAAATCCAAATACCGTTAGTTGTTGACTGTTACCTAATCTTCAAAAGAGATCATGGTTTTCTTACTCCCCTTTACGCTTATTAAAAGAATAATTACTTATATATTGATTAACTGTTCATTTTAGATCTGAATGCTCCACAGTGAGGCTCTATAAACATGAGGCAAGATGTGCACCACTCTAGATCACGGCAATGACCAGTTTCTCTATCTCCATGCCTCAGACAGGCATAACAGAACACCTGAAGCTTGCAACATTTCCGTGTTCAAGAGAGCACTAATTAAGAGACATACACTCAGCGGTCACACTAAGTACCTGACATTTAACAGTTTTAAAGAACTCCTATTAAAAACAATCCTAAAATTTTCAAGAAGAGAAAAAAATACTTTCATTATTTTTTGCACATGCGTTCCAATGCCCCATTAACAGCATTTTCCAAGATTCTCTCCTCTCCATGCCAGCACTTCTACTTCAGGGGCAGAGTCACCACATCCTACATTTAGAAAACCCATCTCAAAAGTGTAAGTGACTTTAGCTTTGTGTAGCAGGTAGATGTTACTAAACATTCATTACTATTGTACGCTTTGCTCTCATTAAACTTTACTAAAAGACTTTTCATAATACTTGCATGCTCCCATCACACATACACAGGGTAAAATGGAAGTTAACAGAAGCATACATTTTTAACAGGCATTTGGAGGGGATGGTAACATTCCTCCTGTCCTGAATATTGTTTCCTTTAAAAAGGAATAATAATAGCCTTAATTTCAGTTTTACAGTTACAAAACAAGGTTGGCAATGGCAGAGCTGTAATAAAGTAAGATAATAAGCTGTAAGCTGTAAAAAGCCACTGCACTGTAGCTTACAGCTTGGACTACACGATCTTTAAAGGTCCCTTGCAAACTAAACCATTCTACGACTTCAGGTAGCTAACAAAACTGTTCCTTCCTTTGCGTGTGAAAAGTGATATTCAAAAAGCCTGGAAAGCTTGCCCTCCTTCAGACCAAACTGAGCCATATCAGGCAGCAGCCAAAGCCAGAGTGCTGCAAAGGTTGTAAAACACTCAAATTGCTATGTAATTTTTCCCAGCTTAGGAAAGAATTTAGTTATTGTCTGTCTTTTACTGAAAGATAACTGCATTTCTTGACTTCCACATGAAAGCTGCCAAACACACAAAACCGAAAAGCAGTCCAACCATTTAGGCTCCTGCAAAGGTTCTTAGCAATTAGGTACTTATACTGAGGGGTTGGCCTACACCTAGTGTTACCTCAGAGTGCAAAACATACTGGGGAAGTATGAGAAAAGAATCAGCAAATTAAAGTACCATTTGAAATGAGCAACAAGTTTCAGATCTCAGTATTAGCAACTGTTTAAGTAGTAGCTTTTATATTTAAAGTTATTTCTTCATCAAGAGAAAGGTTCTTATTTTGAGTAAGTTTATCACTTTAAAGCCTGTGCAGTCTAAAGCAGCCACCTTGTTAAGGGTGAGCAATCGACTACATAAAGCCCACAGAATTGTAAAGCAGTAGCCAAATTCTATCAGGTAGAGGTGAGAAAACTATCCCAGACTACAGCTCAGTTCGAGGCCCATGCTTGGGATTGGATTTGTTACCAGTAATTCATAAACACAACAAACAGCTTAAGACATTTGCTTCCAGGAAGAGACCTTACACTTCTGCAAGCTAACCTGCTCTTCCCAGATTTCTCTCCAAACTCTTCCAACAGCTCTAATCAGTCAGAAACATTCTTTTACAAATTCTTTAGCTAGCAATCACATCACCTCAGTTGCACTTCCTCTCGAAAACAAAGGCAAAGATGAAATCTTTATTAAAAAAAATGTATACTTGTTCTGGGAAAGAATCCTAATTGTGGCTACATCTACAGACCAACAGATTGATACTCAAGTGGAACTAATACCTGTCTAACAAAATATTTACATTGTAGTAATATTGAAGTTTCCTCAATTTTAATCTATACCTTTGTAATTTAAATCTATACCATTACAATTCTAAACAAAATTTTATGTTTCAAATAAAACAACATCAGATCTCCAATATGTTTTTACACTTTAAAACACCAAAAATACTCACCCCACACACCTGCAGCTAAAGATTTATTCTGGTTTGGTTCCCTCTCATATTCAGGGTTCAAAGATGGCTGAAAGAAAGTTTTATCATTATTAAAAAAGCAAGTCTTGAATTTTGGAACCAACAAAATAATGAATCACAACAGTATTGGCTGTATGACCTCTGTTGTCAAGGATTTTTAAATGGAGACAGACTAGACACTCCCTGCCTGTGACCCAAATAGGTTAGTGCTCACTTGTTCCTCTTCTCCAACAACATATAGCAGGCAGCAGCCAATACTATTACATGAACTGTCCACAGAAAGCAAAAAACAGTGACGTCTGGTTCGTCAAAGAGGAAGCTCCCCCATCCTCTTATATCTTACAGTTCTAGGTTGAAGCATGGGATCTCAAAGGGCCACTGGCAGAAAGATCACTTTTTTAGTACTTCAGACTTCCTGTAACGTAACTGTAGAATTCAGTACACACACTTACCACAGTAAACTGGAACCCAATTGTAGTTTCACTTAAACACTTACGTAACAATAATAAACGTATAATGATAAAAACTGGATATAAAAGGAGAAACAAGCTAGTGGACGAATAACTAACACCCTCTTACCTATTGTGAAGGGTGATCCCTTATATGGCGATCTGAAACTGGTGAAATCTCATGAAGTAGCTTGTAACAGACAAAATGGCATTTACAGAAACAATGAAACCTTGCTTATTGTAATTACAATTAACTTACAAAATCCTCAGCCTCAAACTGTTTGGGTACTTCTTTGTCTTCCTTTTTCCCAGTTTCATTATCAGATGTATTGTTTTCATGCAGTCCTTGGCCTCTTCCACTGTGGAAAGTGCTGGTACGAGCGCGGGAACTTCCACCATGGTATCCCCCACGATGGTTTATACTTTCTATACCATTTCTGCCTTGTGAACGCCAACCATTCTTTTCTTTTCTCCCAAAGTGCCCTTAGATTTTTAAATTTTAAAGAAATGTAATTACAAACAATTTGAAAAGAATATTCCACTTTTGCAAAATTGTTAGAGAAGTCGGCAGCTGTATACTCTAGGATGTGATAGCATAGTAAATGCACTGGCTGCTCATGTGTATGTTGTTGGCTAGAATATTAACTCGACACTCTTATTCATCTTAAGATCGAAATACACCTGGAATCACACTACACCCTTAAACCTCTCCCAGAATACCTGTCCCTCCATTACCTCTATCTCACTATAGAGTAAGAATTTAGCATAGAAGAGCTATTATCATCAGACTTTTTTTCTAGCTAGAGTGCTACAAAGCAATGATATAAATATATTCAAAATCTTCCAGGAAAGCTAAATTATACCTCCATTAGGCCGCCCAATGTTAGGATCAAACCCATCTGAAGAGTTGTGTCTTCTGCGATTTGCTTCATAACGATTCTCTGCCCATGAAAAATTTTCAGAATGTTTCTCAAAGTTCAGTGATGACTGCAAAGGAACACAAGTGGTAGACCCGAGATATCTGATTAACAGCAAAACTGAATTATCAGAACTGTAACACGCACATTACTCGTGGTATAGATAATTAATTTTTTAAAGTATTTTCAATGACAGACAACGTAGCAATCCTCAAGTATGCACACTTTCAGAGCTATGTCACCATATTCCATGATAGTAAAGTGGAAGCTGATATTCTGCTCCAGGACACCGAAACAGCGCTTAGGATCATGCTTGTGACACAAGGCAAAAAACCCAAGTGTCTATTTCATTTTGGCAACAGAAGAGAGCACAAGTGACATGTGTTGCAGCAGAGGAAAAAATTTAAAAAAAGGTAAGAAAGGACAGGAGATCACACTTCGGAAGGCAGAAAAGTGTGGGATCTTAATTTGGGTGGTCAGAGACTCCACATGTGCATTCCACAAAAAGCAAGCAGTCACTCCAGCCAGAGGCAGCTGCCCCCAAAAAAGGCCAAATTTATTAGTCTTGTCATTGTAACTTAAGAAGGCAAATGCAACTAGTTATGAAATACAAATAAAACTTAGCATCAGAAGTTTCACAAATGTATTCACAAATACATTTCAAGTTACCAGATTATAAGTAGGCACTGTAGAAATTTTAAAGAAAGAAATCTTTCACCTATAAGTAGAAAAAAAAAATGGTACTCAAGTTCTATTGACAATCCCTCAGCAGAGCTCAAGGTGCTGTTAAAAATTCACTGCTCAAAAGTCAAACTTAGGTAAGCAACAGGTATGTTTAAAATACAAACCACTTATTTTCAAGCCATACAGAAGCCAAATGAAAAGGAATTGCTCTCTCGGTCTGAGACCTGGGAAGAGAATTACTTCCTTGACAAACTTGGAGAGAGAGAAAAAACAGAAAATCACAAGAAACCATCAAAGTATCTAAGTAGTTCAAAAATTATCATAATGAATCTCAATATTTTAAAAATAAATCCTTACAAACAAATTTTGAATATGCTGCCAAAACTTTCAGCAATCTCCAGACCTGTTTATGATAGATGAAATTTTAGAAGATAGCTTCATTTGTTCATCTACATATGACAACCTTCTAATACTGCCTTTGAAGTTAAACCGTCATTTTTTTGTATGAACTTTGAAGAACAATCAAATTTTCACAAAGTATAACTGACAGTATTTTATATATAATGTTTAGGTTGTACCTGATATAATGAATCTGAAGTCTTTAAATTGTATGCAAAGATCATGCAGTTTGCATTTCCTCCACGTGATGGAGGTATCAGTCTATCAAGCCTCTTGTGGCAGAGACGACAGTAAACTTTGTAATCAAAGGAAATCTGTTAGCAATTTCTGCAAGTTAAGAAATTATCCAACCAGGTTCAGCCAGCCAAGAAAGAGAGCAACACAGATTTGTGACGTGAAAGAAGAAGTTTTATTGCTTAACATGAAGTAAAAGTAAGCTTGCGAAAACTGTTTAGCAGTCTGTCTTCAACCTCCCCACATTTTACAGCAATCCTTTCCAAAAAGTTTCGACGTTATCCCAAGATGGCTTCACTATTCACAATGCTTTCCCATTTCCATCTTCCCAACTGCAATACCACATTGATGCAAATATAGTAGTTCCAGACCTGAATGTAAGCTACTGAACAATGGATACCAAGCTATTTAGGTGGCCTTTGCTATGTAAATGACAGGGAGATGATATAAAAGCTTATCCGTAAGGGTAAATCATCAGCAATAAGTGAGATGTAGTCAAAGTGTAATCTGTATCAATCACATTAAGAACGCTCACTCACAATCCCAGCTCCCTGGCATCAGTTTTTCCTAATGCTTGCCTGTATCTATGTAAGGAAAAGCCTCGGGAACAAGGCAGGGGAACCAAGCTCCTAGACACGCAATTCCTAAAAGTGACTCTTCAGGGAAATAAAAACTGACTGGGCAGAATTCAGTTTCTCCTCCTCAAGTCTAAATGTTGATGATACCATAGCATCAGCCCAGCTCCATTCCGCATGAAACTGACACTTTGCCTTCCTCACCATCTCCATCCCTCTAATCTGCTTCCTCTCTTCAGCTGCTTTGTTGATATATGGGAAGCAGAAATAAAAATCTAATCTAGGAAATGGAGGGGACAGGGGGGGCACAACATTTGAGACCTGTCTTGTAGAGGAATGCCAGGACAAACCTTATTCTATAAGCTAAGAATTACTACACATCAGGTGGGACAAAAAGACTTTGCAAATGTTTAATATCCAAATGTGCTGTATATCACAGAACACTGATCATTGAGGGATGGGGCAAAGGAGCTGCATTTCAAACAATTAAGTACAAAGATTTGGAGAAAGCATTTAACTACAGAGTTTTCAGAAGAGATGAAAGAAAGTCTGTCTAAACTTCAGACAAAGCATGGAAGAGAACAGGAGCCACAACATATGCTTGCAATGAAATTTTCCAAAATTCAGGAATGAGGTGACAAATACAACCCATACGTCATATATTCAAGGGCTACTGGTGTAGCTCTGGACCGTACTTTTATCCTGCTACATTGCCACTTTAAGCATGCAGGTAAAGCTCTTCCAGCAGATTCTTGAAATATGTGGTGAAGATTGTTTTGTAATTGTGACACCATATTAAACTCAGCTCTGATTACCTTTCCAGTTGAAAATTTATTAAATTGGAAAAAGCAGAGCAAAAGAGTTCGCACCTCATATACTGTGTTCAGTTTGGGGGCCCTCATGATGGACATAGAGGTGCTGGAGCCTGTCCAGAGAAGGGCAACAAGACTGGTGAAGGCTCTAGAGCACAAGTCTTCTGAGGAGCGGCTGATGGAACTGAGATTGTTTACTCTTGAGAAAAGGAGGCTGAGGGGAGACCTTATTGCTCTCTACAACTACCTGAAAGGAGGCTGTAGGGAGGCGGGTGTTCGTCTCTTCTCCCAGGTAACTTGTGATAGGATGAGAGGCAATGGCCTCAAGTTGTGTCAGGGGAGGTTTTGATTGGATATTCGGAAAAATTTCTTTACTAAAGAGTACTCAGGCATTGGAACAGGCTGCCCAGGGAAGTGGTGGAGTCACCATCCCTGGAGGTGTTTAGCAGGCATGGTGGGGATGGGTTGATGGTTGGACTTGATGGGTCTTTTCCAACCTTAACGACTCTATGATTCTATTAATATATCAGAGATCAAGCAGAATGAAAGCAAACAGATCACAGGAACCATCCTGGAACAGATAGGCCTGATGTTCCCAGAACAGCAACGGAGAGTTGCTGATAGACTATACTGAACAAAGAAGTTCGGTCATAGGTCAGCGCAGAAGAAAGATAAATAGAGCAATATGAATAAGGACACTCAACAACCTGACTAAAAAAACACGTGTGTATGTGTGTGTAGGCATATACAAGCAAAAAAAGAGCAACACAACTAACAGTGACAGCTAACTGTGCATTTAACCACAACACAAGCCTATTTCCACAAGTTTATAAAGGCTAAACATTTTCCACAGACATGGAAGGCAGCAATAAACTTGAATAAATGCATTAAAGCAAGGCAATGCCACTCTCATAGCTGCAGACACAGATCTTGCATTATAATGAATAAAACAGGCCTACAAATATGGACATAGATGACAGGAGTTTGAATATCCAGTGCTGTCTCCGCTTCTGCATTCGCAGAATTCAAAGGTTAAATTAAGAAAGAGTAAAAGGATACGCCAGAGAAAAAAGAAACATACTCATGTCTTCCTAGAATATTTACAAATCCTGATGACTCTGGGATTGCCAATTCCTGTTTCCAAGCTAACTGTCCCATTGTATAGAGCAACAGTAGTCTAGATGAGTGAAGCACAACTCTTTGAAAGCACCACACTCCACCAGTAGTAACAAGCATCCCATCAGGAACTGAAAAGCCATTTCAGAAGGTCTATTTCAAAAGTATTTTTTTTAATCACTTGAATGATAGAGTAACACTTCTGTAAAATCTACAGGACACAAAGCAAAATTAGAAGCAAGAACATCAAGCACATTCCTCTGTCTTGGTACTTCAAGCACAAAATACAGTGCAATTCTAGTGAAAAAAATCATTTTAAACTCCTGCTGAAGGCAAACTTAATCCAATAGCAGCTCTGGTAATGTGGCCAGGCATATGCCTCTTTCTACAAACATAGCTGCTCAAGCAAAAAAACTCTACTGGAGGTATGAGCTTGACAACCATGACAATCATGCCAATCAGACTTGCTAGATATTATCTGTTATCATGCTATTCATAAAGAGGTGTGCATTTTTTCTATGATTGAGGTTATGACATTCAGACTTCTCTAATGATCCCAGTGCCGGTTCAAAAGAACATCAAAGAATATACCTTTGTTGATGATGGTGGAGTAGGAAAATTAAGCCAGGCTGGAGCAAAGTCATGCTGCGCCATTTAGGTCCAGTCTCTCCGAATCAATGAAACAAGGCTTCAGCACCTCATGGCAAGCCCCTGTAATTGCAAAAAAATGAAGTACTTTTTGATGCTTATGTGACAAGAGAATTGCACTTGTGGCGTTTTGATTATTATTTCCCTTCTGTTTTCAGGGACTAGTTTCCCACACAAATCTGATTTAGAATCTAACTATCCCAATCTCATTTATAGCATTACATTTGTGCTTTTATTACCAAAGTGTCAAACTAATCAAATATATCGCAGGTATCATGAAAATACAACTGTAACATTCCTTCCTTTATTTGCTCATATAAATGGGATGAAGCATCCTGTCTAAGGTTTTATCCAGTAAGCTGTGGCAAAATTAGCTTGTTGAAATACTTCCTGGTACTGTCTAGAACAGATTTCAGGATCTATATCATTAGCTTCTTAGAAGACGCTGATTTTTTAAATTAGTCCCTTAAAGTTAGTCTCAGAGGCCATACTAAGGTTCTTAATGAAAAATCTAGATGCTCAGGGTCACCACAAAGCCCTTATTATCTCTAGATGCAACAGAAACAGAGCCTACATATGCAGAAACAGTGTCAGAATCCAGTAAAATTCTCTAGTTTGAAAAAGGGGAAAAAGGAAGTAATGGCTTAACATTAAAACCCAAGAATACATTTTCCTACCCCACGCTCTCCCCACAGGTAGGAAAACATCTCTCAAACAGCAAGAGAATGCAAGACAATGTAAACTATACTACCTGAAGCTAAACTATAGCACAGAAACGAAAGAAATGGATGAAACACTGCCTGAATTAGAAGGGTATCTGAATCATGCTCTGTGGTTAGACAAAATATTCTTGAATCATTGACAGTTTTGAAGTATGATATATACACTACTAGAAATTCAGCTAGTGAAAACATAATATACACACACATGTATTTCATAGGGAGACCCAAATAAATGTGCATTCCACATCCCTGCACAACAGAGTGCAGATCTGTTAGTCAGTGAGCACAAATGCAGTTCACTTCAGTCTAAGGCTGCTGTAATACAAGTAAGTACTAGTAAGAGCTGTGGAATCTGAACTTAATAACTGATAATTATTGTTGTATTCTGGCCTGAACCAGGCTATTGCACATTTCCAGTGACAGATTAGAATGCTCCAGCTTCTAAAAGGAAGTCTAACAGATTTCTAAGCATTAAATTGCACTTAGTTAGTTGAGTTGCCAGTTCTTTTTCATGCGGTGAGCTCATACTTAGGTTGCTAGGTACCTCCATTATTGCACTGAAACCTGTAAGGTAAGATGCACAAAATCTACTACCATTCAATAGAGACAAGTTTAAAGGGATGTCTCACCCAAATAACTTGTTCTAAATTACTCTGTTGAAGTCATCCAACACTCTCTTCTAAATTAACCTCAACAAAAGTTCCAGAGAAATTTTCTAAAGAATCCAATTATGTCAGACTAGTAAAAACTGTCACAAGAATGGTTACTCTTTCAAACACCAGCCAAGTTCACTTTTACTGATTAATCATGTTCAGCAATGCTATAGAAACAGAAAAGGTTGTATGTTTACAGATGAACCAGTACAATAGCTGCTAAATTAAGAAATAGCAAATTAAATGTGAGCAGACTGCAGCAAGCAAAAAAATTTTTTCTCCTTTCCTCAGATACAGTTCTCATCTCCAAGCAGAAGAATCATGAAATCTTTAGAAATGATCAAGACAGGTATCAGTACTGGAAGATCAGCACAACCACCACAACAAAATCTTCAAAACCAAGTCACATACAGTCTGAAAAACAAAGGGAGAGATCAGGCTTGTACTCAGTAAGAACATAACGAAGGATCCAAGAAGTATTACCAAGTTATTGGTGAATCGGCTACTAAGTCCTCATGTTCTCAGTTCTTCAACTGAAAGCTCTAAAAAGGTTTTTGACAGTGCTGCTCTGTCAGATGAGCCGATCCCTTTCCTACAAAGCAGTATGGTGAAGTGGTAAAGACAGAGGCCTGGGACAAAACTACTCAACACTCAGAATGTAGAGTCAGCAGCAGAATATCTGTATATTTCGTAAGCCCATAAAAGAAAAACTCTTTTAGGTCTAATTCTTCCAGCTAGTTTTGATAAAAGGACAGCAGTAACAAAAGCACAGCTGTAATTTTAGAACACTACCTGACCAATTTCACAGTCAATGACTACCAAGAAAAGCAACTACTGAGGACACTGACCTCAACACTAAAGTCAAGAAAACATTTTCTCTCATCTGATTGTACATATTATTGGTCTGGCAATTAGACATGGGAAACTTGAGTGTTTTCATTATTAAACCTTACTAGCTTGTAACAGGCACAGACACCCTAGCCATAATTAAACTGGCAAACAAACAGCAAGATCAGGAAAGGGCAGATATTAGGATCTTTTTTTAAAACTGTATTTCAGAGTACATAGCCTACTCAGCTGTAAGTTGCCAATTCCATGCTTTACCAGGCTTCTTAAAGACTCTTACAGATGTTGGCTTTCTGATGTTGCCAACAAGTTTGACCCAGAATGTACTTTAATAAAAAACATTTTAATTGCAAGCATGAGCTCTGTTTTGATGATCTGGCAAATATTCAACAGCTATAGGATACTATTCATTCTCAGGAAGATATCTTTGGTAAAATGGAAACAGATCACAAAGTGAGAATGGGATGTCAGCAAGTCCACTCTGCTACCACAGGCAGGATTTACCATGTTTAAACCCTTCGTGATCAGCTTGGTTGCCAAATACCAGTTTGTTCTTTGCTTGCTTTCCAACTTAAGTTAGACAAACAACTGAGAATACCACATCATTCTGCAACACATCCCATCATTAAAAAGGCTCCTTCTACCAGGTCTGACCCAAGTCTTTTTCCTTCTGTTCAGGTCCACTACCTAAGCCATCCCCAGCAGTCAGAGACATTTCTGCATTCTGTGCCCCCCAAAGCACTTGCAACCTCTATTCAGATTCATGCTATCTATAAATTTAATAAGTATACACTCTATTTCATGACTGAAGTTACTAATAAAAGTACCGAAGAGACTTCTTCAGAAATTTACTTTATACATCCTTCCAGCTTGACATCAAGTAACAGCTGCCTTCAAAAACCGAGGAGTCACTACGGCAAATAGGTAGCGTGGATCAGCCATTTACTTTAGGATAACACTTCTACCTTTCAGAAACACAGGACTACCTCTAAATTAAAAAAATAAAAACACAAAAAAAACAAAAAAAAAACCCACCACACAAAACAACCCAACATTTAAGTATCTGAACAGAACTGAAGTCAGTAGTATGCACCCATACAAGCATTTAAAAGAAATTCCTGTAATTATACTGACAGACATGAAGAACCCATTTGTCTGCCAGCAAGCCTTCTCCAATGTACATACCATGGTCAACCGCTGTTCATTAACCCTGATAAAACAGCTGTCATACTCCCAGCATTAATACAGCTATCAGAAGTAAGCTTATTGAGGTATATGCCACAAATCGGACCATGATTCCACTGCTTTCAGAAACTCTCTTGACAACAAAAGAGCAGGCCCAAAATTTACCACTGAATGTTTAAGTTACCACTCCCTAGCAGCACAAACTCAAAATATATCTGCCGTTCTTCAACCAAAGTGCCATAAAAGCTAGCTTGGCTCAGACTGTCTACTCCTGAAGCAGAGCTGCACAGTTCTAGAAAGGTAAGAAAAAGATCCTGAAATACTGCTATCCTCATATTATTAACGCACAATTGCATCAAAATTTCTCTAACCAGCCTGGTCAAAATACTCAGTCTCATCTCAGCAACAGCCTCTGGTGTCTGATTCAAGTACTGAATAGTGACTTGAAAAAAGAATGCCTTCCATAGCCCATAAATTTAGATAAAATTTATGTTTTGCTGTCTTGTGGATAGTAGAACAGTTTACAGCAAAGAAAAAAGCCTGTCCTTAACTATAACTTCCTGGGGGACATCTGAGAGAAGTCTGTAAGTCATTTTGTTTCAAGTAACATGCACTAATTATTTCAATATTCAACCGTGTAAAATTTAATTCTGTAGTTTTGTGAAGTATGATCTTCAATCATAAGCCAGTGAATGCCAAGGAATAATGAACAAGGAATAACAAACAGCTGTTTCCAAATGATGTACAGAGAAAAGGTTTATCATAAATATAACTCAGTCATCCACTTTGAGCCACATTAGCAGCTGAAATAAGAACAGTGCACGAAGTATGCTTAACCAACATCCAAAAAAGGTTGGGCTGGGTTGTTTGGCTTTTTTTATGATTGAGTCAGTAAGGTGATAGAAACTATTTTTCACCAGTTTTAAAGCAGGTGGCTACATTACTTTTAAACAAACTTATTTGTGTTATCTGAAGACCACTTGGGAATATTTAATGTATTGCCTCTCTTTTAGAAAACAAGCAACACACTGAGAAAAGGGAAGCAGAAAGCCACTGCATGAATCAGGAGTCAAGACTTCTGTGAAAAGGCTAAGAAAAAAACATCTAGAGTCAACTCCCAAAATTCTGCAAAAACAACAAAAAAATGGAACTAAAACAACTACCATTAGTTCAGCTTGTGCTTACCAAATTAAATGAACAAATCAAATATTAAACTATATACTCAATTTTCTCTCCACTACTACATTTTTCTTTTTTAAATCACCACAGAAAGAGAGAAATAAAATCATGCTTGGAATAAAGCACAGAAAGTTAGAACTTCACCTGGTGCAATAATGAACTACTTCAGTGATAAGAGACAAAAAAAGTTTAATAAAACTACCTGGCTTGCTTAGCCTTACAAAATGAGGACCCAAGATGTATTTGAATAGTGGTTATAAACATCTGACAGAGTAACTCCACCAAGAAAAGAGATATCTTAATCCAAAACACCGTCAGAGTTGCAGGAAGATACCAAGCACAGTAGATTTAAACCAGACATACAGTCCCGCAGATGAGAAGACCAAGCTTCTGGAACAACTTTAAGACAAATATTTGAACC